TTTTTTTTTCTATTCTAAGAACAAAATAGAATACTAGTTTTTTTAATACGTAAATAAATAATAAACACAAGTAAGGTAGCAAATTACCTTTCACTACAGCGTTTCGTTTTAAAATGCCAATTTCTTTGGCGCCTTTGACAAGATGCGACACGTGCCAAGGTGGCGTGACGCAAAGGCGATGGTATCTAGGCGAACATACTATAACAAGGGCGTCAATAATTATAGGTTACGCGGACCTAATGGTATTGCTGGTCCCCTTGGTCAGCGCCATCAGAAAAATGCTAGGTCTCTACTTACGCGGTCGCACATGGCTTAGTGTACAATTGCAAAAAAAAAAGCGAGTACATGGGTTTCAGGTCTGGTATAGACTTCCAGATTTTGTCAATTCTTTCACCGACTTCAAAAAAAGAAAGAAGTCAACTAACTGTTCAACAGTATGTTTTTTTTTGTATTGTGTGGTCCCATTGAAATTTTGTGAAAATCTTCCACCATTAAGGGTGGAAAAATAGAGAATGAAATTTTAATGTTACTATGTATGTGTGTAACGAATGAAAAAAGTTAAAAAATGAAGCTAAAAAAGTAAAATCCGACGTTAAAAACTATAAACAATTTCCCGATTTTTTTGAAAATCGTTGATTTTCAAAAAATAGCGGGAAGTTAAACATAAAATAATTGCACATTGAGTCGGGGCTATACACTATATATTATCTTAGAACCGACTTCACAATATGAAATTATTTAATCCTTTTTAATTCATTGAAGTCGTATTGTATTAAAAGTTATTTATTGTAAGTCAAATCCGACGTTATTTAATCGTTATTACAATTTTAAATAAAGATAATATAAAATTAAAAATTTTGTACAGCCGACTTCAATATAAGTTACTAAGAATAACTCAAAAAATATTGGTCTGACCTTGATCAAATTCATATGGGACCACACGAGATGTCAGCTTTCATATTAAAAAAAATCATCGAAATCGGTTCACCCAGTAAAAAGTACAGTCGAATTGAGTACTGTCTCCTTTTTGGAAGTCGGCAGAAAAAGTGTTAAAGATAAACTACAACACGACTTATTGACTTTTAAACTTGATACAATATACTTAGTAATATGTAATGATCATGATATACTCTTTATTCGTATCATTGAATGTAGAAGGTATCTATTGGAAATAGTGAAGTTGCTAGACCTTTGATGCAATAGTTTAATACAATATGGCGAATGGGGTCACCAGCGATACTTAGTATGTATAAAGACCAAATGCAATATGTACAATTATAGAGCAATGAACTGGTTAGATTCGAGGCAACTAGTTTTCAAACGACTGTTTTTTTATGTGTGTTACCTCAGAACTTTTTCATAGGTGAACCGATTTTGATGATTCTTCTTTTACTTGAAAACTGATGCATCTCTCGTGGTCTCGTATTCTGTATCTGACCATAAATTTTAGGTTTATCTTTAATAGTACGTATTTAATTGACTTCGACTACATTAACAATGTTCGCAGTTTATTTATATTGAAGTCGGTTGTACAAAATTTTTAATTTTTCCATTTCTTACTCATAAAATCATAGAGATCAAGAGAAAAATATAAAATCAATAAAACTTGCTTAAAAGTTTATAATAGCTACCGTGAAGCACCAACGTTCCTGAAAGTCTTATTGTTTATATCAAATTTGATGGACTGGTCGCAAAAGAATATCTACCCAGAACGGTTCGTAAAGCAGTTGAAATTTAAAAATATCCAAGTCCCAATTTAGACAATGGCTGGATGCTACTATCTTGTTTGGGTCCTTGTTGATGTTTATTACTTAAGTGCATTTGACGGCTGCAATACGTATGAGGGTGGAAGGAGCCTCCATCAAAGACGGACTTCTGCGCAGCAAAGGAGTCCTACCACTTAACTGATGATCCCACACTGGCGTGATAAGATAATTCACCAGCTCCTTCGTCCAGTATGCTGAGTATTGTCAATGGACAACTCTTCCACGAAATGAATGTCAGAGCTTTCTTAAAAAGAGCTATGCAACAGTAGTCTTTTAGATGAAAGTGTTTATTAATCAACTAGCTGTTCCCCGCGACTTCACTCGCGTGTTAGGGTTCTTATGTTTTGCGCGGAACCCTAATTATTTTTCTAAAATAAAAGTAGCCTTAGTTACTCCTTATGAAATCAGCTATCTGCCAGTGAAAGTCCCGTCAAAATCGGTCCAGCCGTTTCGGAGATTAGACGGAACAAAGAGACAAAAATTTTAAAAATTGTATTTTAGTCATATGTAGATACCGTATTTACTTTCATATGCATTTAGTAAAAAACTGTAATTTTGACATTACGAACAGACACTTCAATTTTAATTATTTATATAGATATAAAAGTGTTATTTTTAAATTACTAAAATAATAAATAATTAAAGTACCTATCAAGTAACTTTAAGAAACATTATAACCATTTATGGACAAAGTACTAAGTCCAAGACTAATTTGAAATTTGATAGTGGTGATAACATTCCTAGATAATAGCAAGAAATGTACTTAAGCTGTAAGCTTTAATTATTGGCAAATTAAATAATAAATTACTAAGTAATCATAAACATGATTAATATCGTAGTCATCAGCATTCTTAAAACAGTGTTTATTATACTTACTAGTTTTTCCCCGCGACTTCGCCCGCAAGGAATTTATTAATATTGGATTTAATGGGTTTAATTTTTTTTTGTCCAGACTGTAATTCTTTTTCTAAAATAAAAGTAAGCCAATGAAAATTCCGTCAAAATCGATGCAGCCGCAGCCGAAACGAACAGACAGACAGACAAAAATTTTAAGAATTGTTTTTTGTTATAAGTACCGTATATCATATTTATAGGATAGGGTGACAAACGAGCACACAGTCCACCTGATGGTAAGTGGTTGCTGTGGCCCATAGACATCTACATCTATCATCGCTTGCGAATCAAAATACAGATGCGTTGTCACCCGTGAGGACTAAGATAGAACGCCTCTTTTACAGTAAAAAGGGTCTCCGGTTCTCTACACTCACCATACGAAACACAGCAGTGTTAAGCTGCTATTTTACACTGGTATTCTGTGAGAGCATGGTCCTTCCCCGGTCTAACCGACCTATTCGTGCTACAACTATACTACTAATATAGTTGCAGCATGGCTCTACCACGTTTAAAAATGGATTTAGTAAAAAGCTGTTATTTTGTCATTACAAACAGATACTTCAATTTTATTTATTTGTATAGATTACTAAAGCGGCCAAATTAATAACAAGCCAATGTGGGACATGTTGCTCTTAAATTAGAAAACAAGCAAATCTAAGTTTATTGAATTTTAAAATTCATATTTCTCAGATGAGAGGAATTTTTAACTAAATTTATTACTTTTTTATCTGTACTGGCTATTGCACTGCTCGTTTTTTTTTTGTTGCTTGCATTCGTTAAACTTGGAAATCTATGAATGAATTCAATTATTAACTAATTTTGAATAAATTTAGGACTTACGTGACTCATAATATGTTATGCGGTAATACTTATAATATAACTAGCTAGTTCCCATCGCGTTGCTGCCGCAGAAGAAATAATTGTGATTATATGGTTTTAAATTTGGAAGAATTATATTGTTTAATTAGGAATGGTAAATACATTAATTGAAATTGAATGATATATAACTTCTAAATAAATGTGTTGTTGCGATACGCGCACCACCTACTGTAAGTTAATTATACTATGCCTATAACCATTGCGCAAGGGCAAGTAATAAGTTGACAAAGGTTTACCTCAATCTGATGAACGGTATGGCAGCGCATGAAATACGGACAAACAAAACATATTTTTATAATAAGTTAGATTACTACTACCATAGTTTAACTACTATGGTACGGTGCCGCATAACGTTACGTACGGTTTACTACTTTATCATAAAAAAAAAACTAATTCTCGTCCAGAGGGGTAGGCAGAGACTACGGTCTTCCATTTAGAACGATCCTCACATATTTCTCTTGCTTCTTGCACATTAATATTCTGCCTATGCATTAATACTCGTCGCTTAAAGGCATTGAGTTATATGTACTACGTACTAGAGAAGCCATTCCAAACAAAAATTGTGTCCTACTCTATGTCTTCGCGCATGCGCGAGAGTTGTAGTCGCGCATGCGCGATGACTTTAATTTGATATATCAAATTAAAGTCTTCGCGCATGCATTAGATATTAATATAAAATAAATATAAGAATTTAATATAAAATATCTTAATTTAATCTAAACAAATATATAATATTTCTAAATAAAATGTAATAATTATTATTTTATGGAATTCAGAAATCTTCAATTTATGCAATATTTAGTTTGTACGGATTGCACTACAGTTCAGTTGAACATAGTCAATGTTCGGAATGGCTTCTCTAGTACGTAGTACATATAACTCAATGCTTAAAGGTAGTTACTCTAATTTTTTTTAATGGAAGCAGTACCGTAAGCTAATAATAGGGTGCGGATGCGGAGTGCGAACCCAAAAAGTCGTAGGATCGAATCCGCTAGTCGACTACTGTCGTGAGGGTTCCGTGGCGCATTGGCTTAGCAATGAGTTGTTGCGCCGGGGCCGCGAGTTCGAATCCCGCACGGTACAATTATTTGTATGGCCTACAAATAATTGTTCCGGGTCTGGATGTTTGGCCTCGTGCAATTTATGTTTGTAAACTGCCTCCACGATGCAGGAGAAAATCCTAGTGTAGTGGTAACGTTTTTTAAAAAAAAATAAGAAGAAATAAGAAAAAACCACTCCTAACCCAAGCTATAGTTATTGTCCGGAAATTAGTAATTATATTAGCATTACTAGTATTTTTTTTTATCAGAAAAAAAAACATTGTGCACCTTACATCTTATGTATTGCAAAAACTGTTATAACGTATATTCGTATCATATGGACGTTTATATTCTTAAAAAAAATATTATATATAAAAAATAATATTTTTTAACAAAACAAAAAATTTAAAATAATACGTACAATAGCCACATGATTGTTGAAGTTAGAAGAGTCCATCCACAACCGATCCAAAAATCTCATATCGCGTACCACAATATCTTTAAGAGGCGATTTAATTACATATTGGTCTTGATTTTTAAGAATTGCACTCGAGGAAAATTTACGGAGCGATCTTAATTGTTTAATCTGACGTATTAGAAGTTTTCGCGCCATGTTTGCATTTGCGCGCGCTTTTTGCGGCAACAGAATGTAGACTGAACATTGACCGATTCGCGAACCGCGTAGAATGGATCGGCACCGAGCGATAAACTTGTTAATTTGTACCTAAAATAATATCTTCCATGAATCAACCGATTAAGGAATCATATTATGTACACACCTACTGCAATCACATAATATTATGTTTTTATTTACTTCCTGATACTTTTATAATTCTATATCACTGTATTATGTCACAAAAGTAATAGGTATATACAAAAGTACTTTATACTTAAGTATATATTACTTTTATATAAAGTACATTATACTTCAATGTATTATAGGTAAGATCTATAGGGAATTTTAATATATGGGGGAGTGCAGTTTGTGTGTGTTTATTACAACTTCGGGTCGCTATAATAATGCTATAAAACATTTTAATGTAGCTATTAGAGTAGGTAGCTATTTTTTCACAAATAAATTAATGATCGTTTAAAATATGTCTATACGCCTCGAAATTGACTTGTGAAATGATGAAATGTCTCCTCGTTCATACGCAGGTAGTTGAAATATTTTTAGAGTCCATTTCCAACTTTTAAAATAGGGTGTATATGTATATAATATGTTCCTTCTAAGTATTTTATTTTTAAGATTGGATGAATTCAAAATTTGACTTCTCTGCGTTGATTATATTTTCGTCTTAAATGTAAGAGATATAACAACAAATACGACGATTTGACGAGATCATTTTTACGTGCTGTAGAACGGAATGCTGTTTTAGTACTGCCCAAAAACCGACACCGAGCGTAGTGCGGCACCGGCACCGGCGTTGTGGAAAAACGAAGTCACGGCGCCGTCGCCGCGCCGGTGCCGTACCGGTAAATGAAAAACCGCCCATTAACAACAGAAAATACTGTTCAAAATGTTTTAATACCTCAAAACTGTATCATTTATAAATTGAAGATATATAATTTGGTACAACAAGATTACGATGATTTTTCGATGGCCACAAAACGCCAATATGAAACAGTTTTTCATACAAGACAACTATTAATGTTCAAATCAATAAGGATAAAGTAAAGGTTCTTCGTTACAAATATACAGATGCATGGAGTATGAAGAACATTGATCCTTATTAGTTTGAATAGGTCTAAATCGTCTAAAATCGTCTCTAGAAAAATTCATCGGTATTATACAGAAAGAAAGGAAAATATTTCTTTAAAAGGCAGGTATGGACAATTGACAGAGAATTTTGATTGAATTTTGATTTCCGATGAGTTTTAATATTACTACAATATAATGAGAGTACCTTACGTTACAAACGAACATAAAAATAATATAAAAGTAGCAAAATGAGGCAGCAATAATAATACTGTGTTGCTACATGAACTTTAAACAGGTCAATGGAATAGAAGTAATTTTATGGATTTTAATAAAAATTATACGCGATATAATCCGTAAAATTGGTTTTACGCTATGATCAGCATTCGCGTAAATATAAGAAATCATTAGGTATTTCATTTTATAATGATGATTGCTATAGCCAGATAAAAATATGGATAAATTTTCCTTGTATGTCTATGCCGCAAAATTATTTGCGATTTAAATTACGCACAGGTTTGTCATGAGAAAGATTCCTAGAAACATGAAAAAGAAATTTGTCAATAATCCTAAATGAATTTACAACATTATTTTGAATTCTATACCGGTGAAAATTATCAATTAATTAATGCAGTATGATAATATTATTATCTCGTGGGTGCCGTAAAAAGCGATAGAGAGAAGTGAAACAGGAGATATAGGTCAGCATTAGCAGATAGCAGCGATAGAGAGAAAGGTCAGCAGCATCTTTCTGATTACAACTCAAAATAATTTAAAAAAACTTCAGCTGCTATTCGCTGCAACTATGCCAAATATCCCTATGCAAATATAATATGTAAATAGACTTTTGATAGGCTGTGAAAGAATAATAAATGATGCAATAAGAATAAAATAGTGAATTATGACATGAAAAGACTAGTTAATCTCGATAATTGGCGACATGATAAAGATAGGAAGATAATACGATGGGCTAATCCACAAGGAGGTCAGTGTTTCACGTTTACACTCATTTACATTACACTCTTTGAGATATAATTTTGTAGATTCAAGATTAAAATTAAATAAAAAGCTTCACTGTCTATGAATGTAAGACGAAGGACACCAAAGAAGCGGAGTAGAAGACATCAACATCAATTCCTGCCAAGAATGATACGTGAGGTTACTGAAATTAAAAAAAAACATCCTAATTTCAATAGTGAAGGAGGTTGGGTACTACCGCTTGCTTGGGATCCTATAATTAATAAAATTAAAACTAAACCCAATCATACCACTGCATGACTTCAAGACAAAGTAAGATCATTCTGCGTAGATCGGATCAAAAGTAATAATTAAAAAGCTGAAGGTACTCCGGATTAACGTTGACATCCGGACGTCAATCACCTCAGTCCCCCGTGACCATGGGTGCTGGAAAGCACCCAAAACGTCGGGAAATAAAAATAAGTACAATTAAATGCAATAAAATTCGTAAAAGTAGTTTTATTCAATAAATTATTATTAACTTAACTGCTGCAATTTGTGTGTGTTTTTTTTAATTAAAATATTTTACCACTACAATGGTACCTAAGTTTATGTGATTTTAATAATATAAAATATTGATAAATGTAATTGTGCATACCTTAAGCGCATTAAAAATTAAAAAAAAATTACGTTTTTTTTTATGAAACGTTACCCCCACACTAGGATTTTCTCCTGTATCGTGGAGGCAGTTTACAAACACAAATTTCACAAGGACAAACATCCAGACCCGGAACAATCATTTTCTAAATAGGAGGTTCTGATGCCTGGGTGATCAGTAATCGATTGCTGAAAACAGAATTTGAAAATTCAAAACCGTTCTCGAGATAATCGTGGGACAGACGGACAGACGGACAGACATCGTGAAATCAATAAGTGACTTCGCAAGCTTCGCCATTTAATAATATTACTATACATATAATACTATACCTCCAATTTTCCTATAATTTTATGTCAAACTTCAATTAAAAAAAGTTTAGATAATCCAAAAGTGCACGACTTATACTGCTCATATGATAGTGAAAAAATTAAAAAAAGTAAATTGTAGTTATATTCGTCAAAGAGTTCCAGTAGCAGTCACCGAAGTACACATTTCAAGTCACTCCGTCAAGTTCGGAGATATGGTCTATTCATGACTAACAAAACGAGCCCAAACTCGGCACATCTAGGTCCCCTCGTCAAGGAGTTCCAGTAGCTAGTTATCCTTAATTAAGAATCAAAATACAAATGCGTAGTGACCCCTGAGGACTAAGATGAAATGCCTCGTATCCAGGAAAAAGGGTCTCCGGTTCTTTACACTCACTATACGAAACACAGCAGCATTAAGCGCATTCTGTGAAAACGTGTATCTTCCCCGGTCGAGACGACCCATTAATGCTACAACCATAATATAGTTACAGCATGACTCTACCACGTAATTCTATATTCCGACGACAATTTACTTGGATACTTTTTAACACAACAATGATCCAGAACATACAGCAAACAGTTAGTGGCCTGCAAATAGTTCTGATATATATTAAATCAAGGATTTCTGGTACATCTATACCAATAAATAAAATTGAAGTGTCTGTTTGTAATATCAAAATTACAGCATTTTACTAAATGCATATGAAAGTATATACGGTACTAATTACAAAAATACAATTTTTAAAGTTTTTGTCTGTCTTTCTGTCTGTCCGTCTGTCTGTCTGTTTGTTCCGGCTAATCTCCGAAACGGCCGGACCGATTTTGACGGGATTTTCTGATATCACAAGGAGTAACTTAGGCTACTTTTATTTTAGAAAAAGAATTAGGGTTCCGTGCAAAAAATTAAAACCCTAAATAACACGCGGGCGAAATCGCAAGGAACAGCTATTTGTAAATAAAACATTGTAGAAACAACAATGAACTTTAAAACGCGTTTGTAAAAGCCTAGAGAAAAATTCCTCAGGAAATGAATAAAACATTGATTAAATCAATGCCACGTCGTTGTAGGACTGTAATCGACAGTCAAGGCTTACAACTATTAATTGTTTATTAAATTGTTTGTGGACTTACATTATTTTTTATTTAGTTAATTTTACTTACTTATTTTTACCTCAGTTCTTTTTTTCCTGTTTCTTTTTAGTTGTTCACCTCAGAAATTTTCTTGCTTTATTATATTTTATGACACATATATTTACAAAATAAATTCTACATAATACTTAATTTTATCTACAATATTAAAAAACTATGATAATAAAAAAAAACTAAAACTAGAAACTTAATTATCATATAGTCCTACTCCCCGCGGTATCGTGCCAAGAACGCTGGCTGCGTTTCCCCGCTGAATGGCTATACATAGCCTTTGAGCGAGGAAAGAACCAGCCCTCTTATCACCAGCAGCAACGAATAAACGAATTTGTATAATTTATATTTTATAAATTATACAAATGTTTAAACAAATGATTGGATTTTCCATTATCAGTCGATCACCATACTTCAAGCTAGTTCTTTATTGCGTGCTACAGGATGCACCGGACATAGGTGAGGTTGGTATTTGGAATAAAAAGTGGTTTGTCATATAAAATTGCAGTGACACACGAACTAAGGTCAGCTGCAACCTAAGGTCAGCTGTAACCAACTTCAGACAAATAAATATTGCATGGTCACCTCAGACACCAAGACAGAATACCTCACAGCCTATGTCTCCTCTGCTGTAGTGGCTGCAGTCTTGAAGGCGCTGCTGCTTGACCGTATAAATAGGTTAGGGGGTATTACCTACGCAGATGGACTCCTATGCAGAAAAAAATGGTGAAGGAGATGGTGGGACCCATACAGAACCCATAAAAAAGGTTGGCAATTGGAGAACGACGAATTATAATAGTATAAGTAATTAATTATATGATATTTTATTTATTTACTACCCGCACATATTA